GGTCCTTTATAATCAAGCCTGACATCCTCTCTAGCCACTGCCTTTCCCTTGTCATATTATCCTCTCCCTTGTCATATTATCCCAAGAAGCTGCAGCCAAACCTAAACATTTGCCTTTTCTATCAAGTACACACCACGTTTTCTCTTGCTTCTGTGCCTTTACACATAATGTTCCTGAATGCAGTTTTCCCTTCCACCTTCTTCATCTGGCTAACTCCTAGGAAATCCTCCTAAAAGACTGTCTTGAACAGCACCCCTCACTACCAAAGCTTGAGTTAGGTACCCTTCATATCTATATGTCTATCTTTAGACCTTACCAGACAGTATTTCATTTATTTATATATTGTTCCATTAGCAAACAAGCTCCCTACGGGCAGAGTCTATGTATTTTTGCGTGATCAGCGTCTAAGCATTCATCGGGCACTTGGACACTCAATAAATGTTCACTGAATGATGAACAAACTGTGACAATTAATGTATAGAGAATAAATGGGGCAGTTCTAAAAGGATTGTCTACCCCAAAAGGTTTCATGAGTAATATCTGAAGAGGAAAATTTTGTAAGACAGTCAGTTCAAAAATATATCTTCAAATAGAATTTTTATCTTCTTCATATTCCACCTACTCCTTTTATATGAATAAAAATGCATCCATTTAAATAGCATGATTGGTTAAGTTTTCTCAAGTTGCTCTACTAATTCTCTTCAGTTTATGGAACAGTAGTTTTTATAAGAGAATCATGGTACCTTTACCTACCAGGAAATATTTTAAATACATTATAAACACCACAGATTTTTCTTTCTCACAGCAAATTGAGGTAGTAGAACACTAGCCTGAAGAATTTTACCCTGCCCTGGACACATGTAATTTAAAATCATTTTGGTCAACATACATTACTATTTTCTTGAATTCTGAACCCATTCAATTGACTCAACTTGCAAATTAGCTCCATATAGATGTATATTTAAAGTGTTTTGCAAACTTTTCTATTCCTAGTCTTCTGAAAATGTGCATACCTCCTGATTTGCCATGTTTACTATAGGTTATATGCAACATATTACAAAGGATTATTTTACACTTTATCCCCACTTTTCTTTAAAAAATAGCTGCTCCAGAAGTTTATTTTACTTAGCTAAGTAGTTTAAAAATAATTTTCTTGGAGCTTTCATTAGCTTATTTCAGAAGACCTCCCAAACAACCTAAGAGTGGCCTGGTATATTGGAATATTCCATAAAATATGTTTCTTATATTTTATAATTAAACAGCCACCTTTAATAGCTGAAATTCTACAATTAGTAGTAACAAAGTATTATCTCTACTATTATACTCATGTGCTACTGATTATTCAAAGAGGGAAGTATCAAAATTCATTTTTAAATCTCTGCAAGATGTAATGGTTCAAACATACAAGGTTTAAGGGTGAATGAATAAAGAGACTTTACAACAAACATTAAACTTTTTAATGTTTTTATGTATGCCCTTTTGATTTAAAATAAAATCTCAATGAGAAAACTTATAACTCTAGGTTATAGACACATTGTGCAGTTTTTTCTAGTAACAATTTTGATTAGAAATCAAACTTATTTTTGTCCAAATACTCTGAAGAAGATATCTTGTAACACTTTGCTTTAGTAATTTTTTGGACTTATTTAATAGCGCAAATTCTCTCATTTGCTTATCAAAAACACAATGAAAAAGAGCAGAGATTTAAAATGAAAAAAACTCCATTGACCATTTTCACCTCTAATGTTCCTTTCGCAGTGAATGAATTCAAAAATTCTTAAGTGAGCTGACTTATCATGGTGCCAATATGGAAATGTTTTTCACATTACCTTGGATGCACGATACGTATTTATTAAATAGTTTATTAGAAAATGTTGGGAGCTGGCTGGGTCTCCAGGTAGATACAGGCCTGGTGTGAGTGGCCTTGGAGCAGTTTGGTGGGGACCTGTGGGACAGTGCTTTTGACTGCTTCCAGACAACGCAAGTGCGAAGAGTCAAGACCCCAGCTTGCTGATAGGAAAAGCTTATGGACTAAGTGACTCAGTTGCTCATAGACTATGGACTTGCAGTTCCAACATGCATCACCACTCTGGGACTTTCCACCATGGTCCTGCTTCACCTGCTTGGGACTTTCTACTGTGGACTTGTAGGCAGTTTCTATTTGCCTCAGTTTAACCTTGCCTAGCTATATCATTGGTTTATATTGTGTATAACATAGCTTGTTGCTGAGGAGAAATTGTTTCTCCTCAGCCCATGAGTTTTAGCTTTAGGGAATCACTCCCTAGAATGAGGAAATCACTTCCCCTTAAGAATCTTGTATGCCCAATAAACGAGGTTTCAGTTTTGCCACCAGCAGACTGAGTCCCTCCTGTCCCCACACTTTGTCTCTCTTCTCTTTATTTCTTGTCTCCCACCCAAAACTCTCAGGGACCCATTTGGTGAGCTCCTGGCTGACGAGCCAGGGGCGTTCAGTTGAGTGGGCTGGTCTCATTCAAGAAAAGTTACAAAACAAGACAAAATCCTCCCAGATATGCAGAGATTATGTCAGTCAGGAATAAAATGCACTGGTGTCTTATACTAGCAAAAGTGACTTATGAAGTCACTTGGCTAAAAAAAAAAAGAAGCTTGATCAGAAATATAATTGATGCACACATATGGTGGCTCAGTCAAACGCATTTAAAAACCTATGGTGATTGTTTTAGAAAAGAATAAACTAATTGGAATAGTTAATTGACTATTAAGGAAAGTTTTCATAACAAAGCCTCCAGGTTATTTTTTAAATTAATAAATATATTGGAATATTCATTATATGTGTCTATTTTTAAAAACTAAAGGACTGCTTAAACTGAATCTAGATAACATGAAGTATGTTGAAGTAAACTTCTCAGGAAGAGAAAAACCCTAGTGTTCCATCAAGATATTAGGCAAGTGCAGATAACTTCAAAACATGTATATTCCTTTTGTATTCCATCCCTTCACAAGCCAGACCATAAGTGTGAATAGGTGGCTATTTAAAATGTCATATCTAAGTCACTTATATTTCAGTGACTACTTAGCCTAAAAGTTTGGATTAAATTCCATAATAAATTCTACATTGAACCCGTATCGGAAGAGAAACGTGCCACTATTATACTAAAATATGATATTCTGTATCTTAAGTGTTACCTATAGTATCAAATTTGTGATAAATGTAAATCATTTTCCCTTTTAAAAATGTTTTAGTTTAGCAGTATATTGTCCAAAAATTAAATATTTGTAAATAGCAAGTGTCTATTCACAAAGACCACTGAGTAGAACTCAGGGGGGAAAAAAATCTAAAACATAAGTGTATTTTTAAAATGCGATATGCTCTAATAAACTTTAATAACTCAGGATATATGAAACACTGTGTGTCCAGCACTGTTCTGGGTACTTTAAGGACTACACATGCCTGCATACAAGCACATACACATGCAGAAGAAAGAAAAATAATCCACATGAAACAATTGCAGAACAAAAGATTATCAACTTTGAAATGACAACATTTTTGAAATAGAGAACAGATTAGTGGTTGCCCAGGGTTAGGGAGTAGAGGGAGGTGGGTGTGGTTATAAAAGGGCAACACAAGGCATCCTTGTGGTGGTGAAAGAGTTCTGTATTTTACTAAGGTGGTGACGCATACACACAGAATAAAACTGTATAGCACGCATGCGCATGCGCAGACACATAAGTACAAGTAATACTGGGGAAACCTGCATTAAATCAATGGATTTTATCACAGCCCACATCCTGGTTGTGACGTCACACTACAGTTTGAAGGCACATGGGGTCCTGAATTGTTTCTTACAAATACATGTAAATCTTCAATTATCTCAAAATAAAAAGGTTTTAAAAATTATGGTAAAATACACTTTCTCAATTCTAAATACCTCCCCTGAGCCCAAATACTGTAAAAACATACAAGGAATAAACACCAAAATCACTCCCAGTGACAAAAAAAAAGCCAACTAGAGTAACCATTATGTCTAAACATTCTTGCCCTATCGATATGTTAATTTTCTTTTAATTCCATGTTAATTTAAATGACTTTTAAAGATCATATCCTATAAATTGAAGGTTTCTCATGACACAGTAGTCGTGAAATGCTCTTACTTTAAGTTCAGATGGTGGAGGGAGAGAGAGAGAGAGAGAGGGAGAGAGAGAGAGAGAAGGAACCACCATTATCGTCTCTCTTTATGTTAATAGATAAGAAGCAAATCACACACACACTCCTCCTCTCTCTATAGAGTCTGCCTGAGTTCGGATTGAGGGGTAAAATGTGAACACCAGAAGGATTTGTCAAAGCAAGGTCTTTACCTACTTTGAATCTCTTGGAAAATATTCAAGCATATCATTGCTCTTTCACTACTGCAAAAATGAGAAATAATGTGGCAACTGCTCTGGAATTCCTTTGGTGTGAAGAAGTCGAAGGTGATCAAAGGCAGGGTGACATGCAACGGCACCCGGATAAAATAGGTCTGATTAGAGTAGATTCCCATTCACGTAAAATGACTTCCAGGCAATTCGTTTAGCTTTGACTTTCAACTGACACTTTTCTGGTTGCGATAAAGATGGAAATAGGGACGTGGGCCCCCTCTCACACCAATGCGGAAGCTTAACCCTCTCGGTCTCACCCCTGAAGTCCCGCTAAGGAGACTGAATGCTTCTACTGCCCTCGCAGAAGATTGGAGGAATTTAGGGACGCCGTCTCCAAAGCTCAGCAGACAGGGGAGCGGGGATAGAGGCAGGAGCCGGGGTAAGGAGAGCGTTGAGGGGCGTCGGTAGCACCGGGGACGCGGGGCTAGGAGGGAGAGGCAAGGAGACACTGGGCGGTGAGGAGGCAGGGGTCCGCGTGAGGGGCGAGGCAGGGCCGAGGACCTGGGGCGACTAGGACTCGAGGCGCAGAGCGAGGCCAAGGCACCAGGGGACACCGTGCCGGGTGTGAGAGTGGAGGCGGGCTCGGGGGGGGGGGGAGGGCTCACCCGCGTTCTGCAGGGTCTCGATGTTTTGGGGTCTGGTCGCCAGCTCTGCCACCATCTGCACGAACTGGGTCCGGGCTTTCTGGTACTGCTCGAACACCGCAGGGACACACGGTGGAGCGGGCGGCACCGCGGTACCCGGCTCCCGCCGCCAGCCGTCGGGGCGCCCGCCGCCAGCTCTGCCACCATCTGCACGAACTGGGTCCGGGCTTTCTGGTACTGCTCGAACACCGCAGGGACACACGGTGGAGCGGGCGGCACCGCGGNAACTGGGTCCGGGCTTTCTGGTACTGCTCGAACACCGCAGGGACACACGGTGGAGCGGGCGGCACCGCGGTACCCGGCTCCCGCCGCCAGCCGTCTGGGCGCCCGCCGCCAGCCCTACCTCGCAGCACCTGCCTCTGACTCATGGCGCCCGCAGCTCTCCGCCCGCCACAAGCTCCAGGACGACGCTGTTCGTCTGCGCCGGGCCAGCGGGTCCGCGGACTGGGCGACTTGCGGAGGCCACTTGGCCTTGAACTGCAAATGGTCCTCTCTGTGTACCCGCGTCTCCCAGGCAACCGACCGGAACCGGAACGCAACAGCCTCACTGCAACGGTCAGTCCAGGGCGTGACGTCACGGGTTCAGGGTCCCGCGCCCGCGAGGATGACCGACCCCGGGGGAACCCCGCCTGCAGGGGGCAGGGGCTCCCCCAACGTACCAAACGCGCCCAGCCGCTGCCTGAGTCCTGCGCTGTCGAGTGTCGCTGTCCTGCTGGTTCGGACGTCCGCCCGCAGAGCAGGTTCTTTACAAACCGACCCCAGACCCGCGTAGTTGCGTGACTGCTCGCAAGTCATCCGGGCCGCGGAGCCCCACGCGCCGGGAGAACCTGGTGCACGTGCGGCGAGACAAGGAAACTGGGCGATGGAGTCGTCTTGGCTTCGACGGTCACGAGAAATCTTACATGTGGCATTGCGTAATCTGATACATTATTGTCCATGAAACCTTAAAGTAAAAAGTTTTCCCCTGTGGTCCAGCTTTCATATACCTGGCATTTCTGGCTTCAGGATTCCTGGAGCATCACGACAACGATGTTCATACACTTAATTATATCGTATTGAAAGCATTTAATAAGCACTCCTAGAGATTCAACAAGAAAAGCAGACGAGGAAACAATATGATAAGTGTCCTGTCTTTTCTGACTTTTTCCTGTTACTACTAGCTTTCCTGTTTCTTCACTTTTATGTGATTTTTAAACATTTGACTTTGTCTTTTAAATTTAGGCTGCATTTTGTTGCTGAATGGCATTTTCAAAAAAAAGAGGGGGGAAAGAAAATCTTTACCTGGAAAGTCTTAATTCAGATGATCTTAAGCGGACTTCCCTAGCTTATCTACCTTTAACTCTACCCGGTCTCATTTAACAAAAACTAAGTAGTCAGTCTATCGCTGGTTTCTAGCTTCCCTGAAAACAGTATGCCAAATGTTTCAATGACAGGTGTCAATTTTCAATGTTTCTCCATCAGAAACTACAATTTCACCAGGTATGGAGTAGATAACCACACACACCTGCTGCTGAATAGTACCAAGACAGGAAACGTCTTGATAGCTCATGTTCAATAGAAGGGAGGGTGCAACTTAACTGGTTCTCATATTTGGGGTGAGTCCTATAAAATAATCTTGGAGATCTTGATTTGAGCTCTCAGATAAAGTCCTAATATTTTGTGGAGCCCCAAATAGTAGAAGAATGGACCTGCAATCAGAGACAGCAATAAGTGTATTCAGGCAGGTTCCTGTTACCCCCGGAGTAGGTGCCTGTCTTGCTCCAGTTCAGAAGCCAGTGATACCTACAGTCCCTTTACTTAGCTTTAAGGCTTAAGTTGCACATTGACCTCCATGTTTCCCTAAAGAAACAGCTCCTTTAAAATTAAAGTTTTTGTGTGTTCCTGTTTCTTTCCAAATGTAGGGGAAAACAGATTGAGCAAATAATTAAAATTGCAAATAAACCTTCATTATAATTTTGTGTTCAGTTCCTTGTTGTAGTATGAAAAAAAATCCACTTAAAACTAAAAGGTTCCATACGTGGTTTCAGTTCTTAAACAATTCAAACTCCCAACCTTACATCAACTTCCATTTTTAGTAACTGTTTTACTATGTATTTTCTATTTTAAAGTGTTGAGGTAAAGGCTCAGTGGTGAAAAAAAGGTCTAAACCTATAAACATAAGTCTATGGAATGCTACAAAGTTTGAAAACTTAAATTCAAATGCTATCTAAATTATTTTTAACTATAGATTCTGAGCGTCTGTCATTAACAATGTCTGTGGATTAAATTGTATTGTTCCTGATAAAACACAATACTGTATAGGTTTCCTACTTAGTGTCCTAAATAAGACATACAAGTATGAAAGACAGTAGAACTTCGCTCTTTAGTCTAGCTTCGTTTTTTCATCTTTAAAATTAAGTGGATAAATGTAACAGAATGATCATAATATACATATAAATGAAATGTTAGTAATTCAAATATAAAACATGGCAACAGATTACTTTTACTGACAAGAGAGCCAATCTATATTTTCTGACCCACTTTTCAATTTCCTAACTTTAAAATAAAATGCCATTCTGTTTTACAAAGTTAATTGAATGCCCCATGATCACATACATACTTCTAACAGTTAAGCAGTGAGAAAGTAAATTAGTCAAAGGGATATTTGGGGTTTTTTAAGTGCTATTTAAGATTATTTAAAGTTCTTAAAGTACTAGTTGACTTTAAATGTTAGCTATACAAAGTAATTGACATATACGTTTGATTGAGAATGAAACAAAGCAGAACAACTTGCAAAAATATTTCCATGAAAGATTTGTTTGGAAGACTTTGGCTCTTTTGTAAAAAGCTAATCATGTATAACTTCAAAATCATCTTTGCTTTCAATTCTTCTATTTATGAAAATGAGACACAAAATATGCAGTATAAAGCCAATTTTAAAATCCTGTTCTGTTTCTCTTTGAAAATGTGCTTTGGTAATTCAGAAAATCCCATTATTATGAGAATATATTCTACACGTGCCTAAAAGAAACTGTTAATTTTAACATACATGTATTTTTTCTTCAGCTCCTAGCTGAATTTTAAAAATTAAAGCTTTATGTGTGCTAATTAGATACTGGGAGCAAAAACCAGGGACGTAGGGTAACCTAAGTGAAGGGGTGAGACTATCTAAAGCACCACTTAATAACAAAAGGCTTCTTGTAATTAAGAAAATTTAGCCGAGTTTTATCTAGATATGAAATCTCCTTCCCTCCTCCCCCAAAGAATTAAAACATAGTGTGAGCATTTAAATAGGCATTCATTTGGCAATTGTTTGTAATTGTTCAAGTTATGAGAACACAATCTAAAATTTTGCCAACACCTAATCTAAAATTACTGAAATAACTCCATATTTACGTATACATATTTGAATTAAAAACAAAGGCATTACATACCCTATAACCAAGTTATTGGACTCAAAATGTTATCTATAATAAGGAAAGCAAACATATGGCATCTTAAATGTTGCATTGCCCCACTTTGGGGAAAAACGTCAGGATTTTACGTTTAGGTCTGAGCAGACCATCCAATTGTGCCATCAAGTTTGTCAACAGGGCAGGAGATACTCGGACACTTCCATCCAGGAAGGGACGATCACCATTTCTATGCTTGTGTTGGGTTTGTGTTTTACTTCCAATTCTTTGCTTTTCAAGCCTTTTTAAGTTAACTCTTTACATTTTAAACTTTAAAGTCTTTACGTTTCTTTTAGCGTTAAGGCCAATAAAATGTTAACATGACAGTGATTTAGTTGGCCCCAAAGTTCTAAAGGTACACCCGTATATGGCTTCCTTTTCCATTGATTCAGTGGATGCAGAGATTGAAAGCATCTTTTCCACCCCAAAAGTCAACAGTCATTAGAAGGATTCCACACACGATTAATTTCACCTTCAAAGGCACCATTTAACATAAAGTGATTGATACTAAAAACTGATGCTTCTAAGGTAGAAGTCTGAAATACAGCATAACATTTTCTAAGGCAATGGGACACTGATAAAAATTAAATTATCGCTACTTGGATTGTGTGTGTGTGTTGAATATCTTCTTTCTAAAGACTTACATGGGTGTTCCTTAAAAATTGTACCCAAACCCCCTGTCACCGGACACAAACCTCTTAAGCGCCCGGCCACTGAAGCCCGTCAGCCACTCCCTCTCAACACCGCCCTGACCCGCCACCCTGAGACTCCTGGCTTTGTTGGACTCGTCTCGGAGATGGTGGGTGCTACTCCCTCCCCACCTTCTTATGAGTACAGGACACACAAGAGACAAAGATGGGAGGTGCCACAGGAAACTTTCCACCCCTAGAGCCCACCACGCCCGCATCCGGGCCACGACGGGGAGGACGAGGCCCGCACAGGTGCGAGTCCTGCCACCCCCGAGCGGAAGGTTCCAGGCCGACGCCGCAAAGCTGGACACAGGAGGGTCCCCGCGTGTCGTGGGCTGGCCGTGGCAGACAACTGCATTCAGTGTTCACGGGGGTGCTGGGGCCCGAGAGGAAGGGAAAGACGTCGTCCTCCCGGGACGTCCACAGCTTTGCCTTCATCCCGAAGTTTCCAGAACCCCAAAGAGCGCCTCCGCGCTCTCCTCGCAGTTTCTAGCGGGAGTGGGGTGCCGGGTACAAGTTGGGCCTGGGCTCAGGCTGCGATTTGGTCGGAACCCCACGAGGCCCCCGCCACGAGTCGCCGGGCTAGGCCGAAAAGAGGGCGCGGGGGAGGCAGGGCCCGGGGCGCAGGAGGGACGGAGGGCGGGCCGGGGGCGCGGCGGGCGCGGGCCCGAGGTGCGAGCGAGCGAGCGGGGCAAGTCCCTCTCCGGCTACCTCGCAGCCCCCACGGGCCACGGGTCTGAGACCCGGAGCGAAGGGGCCGCGGGTCCCGCAGCGCCCGTGTCTGCCGGGGTGGGGGCGGGGGCGAGGTAAAGAAGGCCTCTGCCCTTTCGCTTTGGTTCCGCGGCCAGGCCGCCTGCAGGAGCCTCACCCCGCGCGGGCCGCCGCGGAGAGGTCCTGGCCGCGGTGCTGCTGACCCACAGGGGCGCGCCTGGAGCGGGCGGAGACCGGGACCCGGGAGCTGGGGCCCCGAAGCGCTGGCGCAGCCGGAAAA